AAGTAGCACAATTAGATCTGGACACGGGTTAATGACTATAGGAGGAATATACCACAGCCCGTGCTGTCTTGCTGACGATTTTATCTTAAGACACACTTGTATTTGAAATAATACAGAAAGTTGACTCATCATTAGATATTTCGGCGAACCGCATGTCAACTGGATGGAGCTTACAGCTTCAGATGGGGGTTTCGATAGCGACCTTCTACCAACCATTCATCAGTGTGCACTTGTAAAGTGTATCGCAAAACCGACACATGCTGACTTGGAACATGATCCGTCACATTTGGACCTTGTCCTTGAACACCACCGTGAGGATGTTATTGACATCCAGCACTTTCTCCCACTAGCGAGTAGTGATCACACCGTACTTCAATTTAAGTTTCGGACACACGGTATACAATATGTATCTGCTCCACCCCGTCCCAATATCCGGCAAACATTCCTACAATTAGAGAATGTGCTATCTCGACAGAATGGTTGGTCGGTGTGGATGAATCAATCGAAGACGAATGGGATACGTTAAAGGCCACATTCGAATCCGAAACATCACCGTACACCTCATGGTCACCATGTTGGCTATGACATTGCCCTCCATGGATTAATAAGGAAATTCAAGAGCTGCTAAAACGTAAGAAACATTTCTGGGACTTTTCTTGTCAACGGGACACGAATGATTTAGGTGTGAATACCAAAACGTCTGGGATATATGTAAAAAGATCACAGCTAGATGCCATACTATTTACGAGAGACATGAAATATGATAGTCGTACTTGTCCGAAACGATTGTTTTAGTATGTTAAACGGAGAATAAAACGCAGTGATGGTATTCCCTCATTGCTGTTACATGAAAATTCAGATTTACTAGCTGAATCAGATCGGGCAATAGCCGAGACGTTTTCAAACTGTTTTAGCGAAAACTACTCTACGTTTATTGTGACGAATTCTTGTACCAATCACACCGATATCAGCCATTGAACCTGTACAGGTGACTGAGGAAACTGTCCTTCCGTTGATAACCAGCCTCAAATCTTGTAAGATACCAGGCCCTGACGGGTTACATCCACGGCTGCTGTCATCTCTTGCGGATATTATTTCAAAACCGCTCGCGACACTCTTCAAAATGTTCCTCTCATGAATTGAAGAGAACAACGCATTGCAACGCCGCCGCTGCCAAAGTTTTTCGTGCGTTATGGTCAATTCGCCGAGCGTTCAAATGCTTTGACGAGGAGATGTTTTTAATTTCATATTCCACCTATGTAACACCACACTTAGAGTAATGTATCCACTTGGGCGTGTCCAGTATGTGGGAGCAAAATTAGTGAAGGCTCTTTCTAAACTCCGTTACGATGAGCGTTTAAAACGCCTTAACCTTTTCCCCTTGTCGTGTCATAGGACACGAGATGACCTTATATTGGCATTTCGTATCTTTAATTATGATTTAGGTGTTAATATGTCTCATCATTTTGCTCTTTCTAGCACTAATAATCTCGGAAGTCATAGCGAAAGTGTTCACAAACGGCAATCAAATAAACTTAAATTGGTGTTCGGTTATTCTCACCGAGTGGCCAATGACTGGAACGCCTTTCCCGAATACGTGATACATTTTCAAGGAAAAGCCGGACCTTCACTGGAAGACAAACTGTCAGGATTAACACAGGTTAACCAACGTACTCTCCATAATACTGAAAAGTGATGTGGGATGTTTATTAAACGTTGAATGCCGTATGTAGCCCAATCTAAGGCGCTTGTTTAACGCGTCTCCATATGATCTGTCGAAAACTCCTGTTAGTTTTAGTGTTATGTGGGTTGACTTGTTCATGTACAGCTCAGAGGTAATGATATATATATATATATAACAGTATTTTTAAGTCTGGTTCATAGGGATAATTACACCTATTTTAATGTATCTGGTTGTTTGGCATTCTTTGCTCGTTCGATATCCGTAAAATTCGTTAGCGGTAAAGCAGCCAGTATCGTCCCTATACCGGCAAGTTCATTGTCACTTTCTCCACTCAGTCAATGCTCTGATCTAAAATCGTTGCTCGTTTTCACATCATCAAATGTTAATGAAATCTCCGACCTTAATGTCAGGTAAACAAACTAATACATATTTGATAATATTTAACAGCTTGGGTTTTATCAAGTCTGGCCGTTATTGGAGTGTGTCTGAATCATCTGTTAGTATCAAGTGTCAGTCGGGTTCCAAATCATGCGTCAATGTAGCTGGAAATCCCTTGGTTATGAAATGGGCTGGAGCCCCTATCAATCTTGGTTACAAGTGCACCAAGCCTTCAGCTGCACCAGTAATCTTACCGTCAGATTCTGGGAATTCAGTTTCTCTTCAGTTTGCTAGCATCCAGGTAAGTAATATTTTCGTTGTGTTTCTCCATAATGATATTCTTATCAAATTTAACAAATGCTATGTCTTCTCGACTAACGAAAAACCTACTATCGAGTTGATAACAATTGTATTGATCGATTATATTCTACTGACAATGATACAGTTACCACTCTTCACTATTTTACTGTATAGGAATTTAGGAAGCCGGGTCCAGGTTCATACCTTCGATTATTATTCACAAATTTCTTTGGAGATAGGAGGTTGATTATTATTATCCTGATCTGTTTGTATCACGTCTAATTTCTTTTGTTCAACCGTACTTTGAATACTCAAAAATACTTTCAGCCTGCATAAACCTACCGTGTTTTGATCTTAACGAGAATAAATATCTTTTTTGGTCACTGTTGAGGGCAGCTGAAATCGATAATTAAGTTTCTTGGCCTTGCCTGTGTATTACAACACGATGAATCTGTCATCGTGTGTTAGAAATGTGTTCATTTCATTATACTTCCAGTCGGGACCTAATTATCATCGTGATGGGGATTGTCATGATCCCATATAAGCAGAAAAATATGACTCAATATTTTCCATTGATTTATGTGGTGTAATTTGGATTTATAGTTTGCAATATGCGTTTAGTAAGTTTTAGGTGGAATATTTTATCGAATGGTTTCTTGTGCTATAGATCCCGAACTAAACCTTATCAACTCATTTACCAGGCATTGTATGATGGTGGTTGGAGGTAATCGACAGGAAACCCTCCACCACCTTACATCAACTAGGTACACGTGATATCGAGTCACCTAGGCTAGTGGTTATATTGTAACTTGATCATTGTGATTCGATTTTCACTAAAAAGGATGTGATACACATGACATTAGTTATTACCTAGTCGTAAACTTAGCTACAAGCCCAATTCATGTATGACATAGCAATACTGTCCGTATCCCAAAACCAAAGTAAATTTGACGGCGTTCTAACCTGACTTATTGGAAATTGAACGCCCAGGGTTATTACTATAAAGTCTAATTCTGTTTAGTGTTTCCAATCGATCTATAATTAAAACTGAAATACTACGTCTGTATCTTATCTGTCAGTCCACAACAACGATCTATCTAATCTCATCCAGAGACCCCGACATTTCTAATCTGCCTTGATGTCTCGCTAAACAATAACAAGAAACTTTAGTTGCCTGTTGCTAGATTAGTCAATTCCGCAGTGTCCAGATAGCCTGTACTTAAAGCTTGATATTATTTCCGACATGGTTATTCACTATAGTCATCTACACTTTTTGTTTTAGGTTCAACCATTCGGCGTAAAAGATGGTGTGTTTGGTGATGTCACAGATTGTGTCGGGTACTTCAGTATTGGTGTTTGGTCATCGCTGATTGTTTCCATTCTTTTGGTTTCTATTTTAACATATGGTTTAGTTATGTTGGCATCTGTACAGCCTAGTGAAATATATGAAGATCCTAAAAGAAAATGATTCAGCTTGGTGCTGATAATTAAAAAAACAAGTTTTGTTCAAAGGGTGATAAATATTTATCTAATATAGATTTTGGTTCTGTGTTTTCAAGCATAATCCCTTTTGTATTTACATACAAGACTAGCTATTCTTCTTGATTTTCTTTTTCTCTCAATAATGTTGCTGTGTTGTGTACAAGTCATATATTTATTAAAGCTCCATTTTGTCTTCTATTTATTTCTCACTGTTGATTGATCAGAAATATAAAAGAATCGAATCAATTTATAATTTTTATCCAAACATCTTATAATTATCCTTATCAAATAGCCTTTCCGACCTCGATGGTATTAGCATAGTTTAGTAATACATCATACGCGGTGATTTGATGGTTAAAATACTTTACTAATAACCATTAGGCTTAAGGTTTAGTTAGACTCAAACGAGAGTTAGTGGTTACAAAGTCAGCTGGAAATAGTTTGATGGATGACCGCGATTTCCATTTGTACTTTCAAAGCATTGTAGTCTTCATGTGTTTATTAAATGGACAAGTGTGTTGGTGTTGTCTACGTACCCTTTACCTTAATAGGTTTTTGAAGGGCGAAGTTGCCTAGTCAGTAATTAAGTTATTTGTAAAGTTAATTTGCGGATGTGTGATTGGTGACATCTGAAGTACTGAGCTCCGAAGGTGTCGATTACCCCAAGGAAAGTTATTTGGATAATTCCCTAACATTTAATTTCGTTTCACCGACCTTGGTTTCAAAGTCAAATGTGATCAATATTGGTGAGACGTGGTTTGCAAGTTTGTACTTGCTTCATTCATTTTAAGAGTTGAGATACTTTGGTAGTTAGAATTATTGTCACTAATCAACCCGTACGAGGACGTTGACGGGAGGTGAAGGTTAGCGTACTAGTTATTAAAGCCATAAGGTAAAATAATACTTGGTTTACGAGAACTGATTACCTCAAAGAACTGGGGAAGCATAATACTAGGTTTATACTAGTGCTTATGGGGTTTTAGTTACAGTCAGATTTGTAACCAGTACTGCGACACTAGGTGACAGGTTCGAAGCACATATTTGCAAATAAACCTTATTAATCGCCACGTAACTCTAGTCGAGTAGTACTTCCTTTCGGTTGCCACCATCTGCTTAATATCTTCATTCGCTGAAGCAAATTGAGGTTCTTTGATATTTTAAATCCAAATTAGTTATTAGCTGAACTGAAACATTCTTAGAATTCAATCTTTGTTCACACATGTGTAGTGACCTACTTTAATCAAGAGAACGCGATTAGTTTAATAGAAACAATTATTATTATAACCAATTATACCAGTGATTGTTTTACTGTAATTGCTTGTTTAACTGTACTAAAGACATTCTTCCTTCCGTTGGTTGTGACGTTGCACGAATTCGGTTACGCTGAGTAACCACACTTGTACTCCATTGGCACGATCTCGGTATTCTTTCGATACCATTAGATCGCCAGCCAATATATCTCGATTACAGGTATCAACTGCCTTCTGATATTTGTTTTACGGAGGATCTTATCGGTTAAGTGGCACGTAGTCTTTCTGTAGTCATAGTCAACCGCGACTCGACAGCACACAACAGATGTATGCGTACATGGATATAAACAGCAAGATGATTAGTGATATTGTCTTCTCATTCAGAAACACCTTTCAAGATGTTGTAATATTCATTCGATTCAAGAATGACAACTACATTTTTTTCTAGTCATAGAGACAATGAATTCTTCTTTTTTTGTTTGTTTATTTTCTTCTGGTTATTGATTCAGTTTGTTTCTGTAGGTTAGAATTGTGGAATTTTTAATTTTCATTGGATTATTCTCTCCACAATCTTTTATAGGGATAGATAAACATATATTCCCAATCTATTTAATTGGTCAATTCTATAAAATAGACACAGGTATGACCTGTCAATTTGTAATCTGTCTAGTCTACTAATAGTTTTACATACTTCTCTACTTGTGAATCAAATTTTCATCTTAATAGGATAACTTTGTGGTTTATTTGTATTAGTATATGGTATTAAACATTAAAACATACAACTATTTCTTGATTCTATATATGATGATGAAGTCTATTACAAAACCTTTTTGATATTCACTTCCAAATGATAAAACGGATCATTTATTCAATGTAATCATAATTTTGTTGTGTTTTTTTTTACTTGATCCTAATTGTATACCTCAAATTGTATTCAATGGTAATTGATTTCAATTTATTATTATTGAAAATTATTTCATCTATATATTACTTTATTCAATCATTATCATCTTATGCATCATTCCGATCAACATCGACGACGACAACGACAATATCGTCGTCCTCCTCCTCCTCTTCATCGTCATCGTCATCCTTCTCATTTACTTATTCATTGTATATTGTATTTTATTTATTGAATAGATTTCTATTTCAATATCAATATGTCGATGCAGTACAAGGATGTAGTATTTTTTATCAATTAGATTTTAAATGGAAAAAAGCATTATGTGATTCTGAATTAAATAAACTTCAAGAAATTCCATTTGATTTACCAATAAATTTAATTGAATTACGTATTATTCATCAATCAATTAAAAAAATTAAAAAAAATTCATCATTGCATTCATTAATTCATTTAGAATTATTACATATTGAATCAAGTGAATTAAAATATATTGAATCGGATACATTGAAACAATTAATTTCATTAAAATCAATTAATTTACGTATAATTCATTAAAATTATGTAATCATTATTACCATAGTGATGAATGTTTCCCTAGTGATATATTTCATAATTTACCTAATTTAATCTCATTAAATTTAGCTGAAAATTTTATTGATTTTATACCAGATTCATTTTTCAATGGATTACAACATTATAATTTAAAATTAAAATATTTATGGTTAAATTCAATGAAATCAATAAATGGTATAAAATTTGAATCGAATGATTTTATGAAACCATTAATACAATTACGTTTATTAGATTTAAGTTATACAGGTTTATATGAATTAGATTCATCGAATGAATTAGCATTGAATAAAATGATTTATTTAAATGAATTTTATTTAGGTGGTAATCCATGGTTATGTGATTGTAAATTAAATTGGTTAAAATTATGGTTTCTAAATAGATCATCAACTTTTTCGTCAACAATATCAAGCTCTTCATCAGCAACAACATCATCATCATCATCATGAATAAAATTCAATATCAACAAAATAAAACTAATTCCAATGGTCATATTGAATTGATTGAACCAATTTGTTATAAACCAGATCAATTAAAAGGCAAATTGATTTTAACCAATAATCAATTAAATTCATTACAATTTCATGATTTATATTGTATTCCACAAATATTTACATTGAATCAAAATCTTACCTTTTATTATCATCAACAAATGTTATTAACATGTGAATATTATACCATTAATATAAATGATTTATTATGGTATAAAAATAATCAACAATTATTTAAACAAAATACAACACATTATTCTATTAGTTATGGTCAATTAGGCGCGAATTTTTATTCAAATTTATTAATCCCCTTGACAACGGAACAAGATACTGGATTATGGAGTTGTATATTAAATAATCAATATCGTACATTATTTTATGTTACTATATTAAATTCTAATGGTGAAATACTTTACCCTAACAACAATGACAATGAGAATAAAGATTCATTTCTATATAAAGTATTTACATTATTTGGTAATAATAATAATAATAATCAAATCAATCATTGGATATATGGTAGTATTATAATCATTATATTATTTGTTATTTTAATATTGATTAGTATAGGAATATTTTGTTGTTATCATTCACAATCATCAAGATTAACTAATAGATCTATAGATGAAATCAATATGAAGAATTGTATATCGATGAATAAATCAAGATCTATATGTAGACGTCGATTGAAATGTATCAATGGCAGTCATCATTATCATCATCATCATAGTAACAATAAAAAGGTCAAAGATGATTCAATAAATAGTCTATTAGTAACAACAAATGATGAACCAAAAATCATTGATAAAAATGAATTACAATTAACAAACCATATGAAAGAGGATACAATTGTAACTTCTACAACAATCATAACAACGACTACTATACCCAATTCAAATATCCATGTAAATCATGTAGAAAATAATGATATATTATCAAGTAGAAATATAGATGAAAATCGTTTATTAAATATATTTTGTTGTCCTACAAATTCAACACGTGATGTTCAATTAGTAACTATACCTACAACTAGTTCTTCATCAACCAATGTTACATGTTTAGATGGATCATTTCTACAAGGAACAGTTGTAACTGATGAAAATCATGTTCTAGTATCTTGTGATAGTCCAGAACCAAAATTATACATTGCTACAAATGGAATTACACCTTCATCTAATATTTCTACATTAGATTTTTCTAATTGCTTACAACAACAACAACAACCATTGAATGTTATACCTCAACCAAGTTGTACTGGATGGGATGGTAGTGGTAGTTATTCATCCCCACAATTCCCTGGAATTTATACATCTAGTCAAATAACTATTGAAACATCAAAACCATGTCCTGTACATGGAATTATGAATTTGAAACCGATGGAAATTAATTGTGATATAACAGCTAATACTACTGTTGATAGTAATCATGCAAATGTTAAACAATTGCCAAATTATAAAAAAATCGATTCAATATATTGGGATCATTCTAATAGTTCAGCGATTTTAACTAATCCTCACTTATCCTATAACTTACCAAATTGTATATTTTTAGATTCTCAAAATCATGATACTATTACCAATCGTAATAATAGAAATAGTGATCATCAAAAGAATGAAATAGAAGTTATGCAAAATTATTCAAAAACTTTATCCTCATATCATAATATCAAGGATTATAATTTATTACAAAAAGCTAATTTAAATGAAGCTAATATACAATGGCCTACTGATTCACGATCTCAAGGAACCTGTCCAGTGCATGGAAATCAGACTTTAACACGAAGAAATGATCAATTAAACACACTGACAAGGAAGATGTTACATTAGGAAATCGCAAAAATTTGAAAAGAAATCACCGAAGTAAATCTATCATTCGTGAACAATCCAGTTATCTCATAGATCATTGTCACCATGGAACGGTAGATAATCAAGAAGCATCGATTTCCTCTTCTAATGAAACAAATGATAATGAGGAAACCGATATTCAATTAAACAGTGTTCATAATAACCATTACGGCTTATCAATAACTTCTATCAAGCCAAAACAAATCATTTACACATCAAATGAGGAAACAGAATCTCAAGGTGAAAGTTCTCTTTCTGAAAAATCGTTACATAGTGATCATTCATGTACATCTTCGGTTTCATCTTCGACAAATTCAGCTTCCTCAATAAATCAACATTTCAAATATATTTATCCATCAAATCAAACAGGACTTAATTCAATCTGTTCATCCTTATCAAATCAAATCAATTTAGCAGCGGCGGTTGCTGCTGCTGCTTCAACTAATGCTACTACTGATCTAGTACAACAACAATCTCCACCTTCATTAGAGTTTTGTCCTTCTCCAGAATTATTAAGAAATCGACCGAATAGTACAAATAGTTATTCACGTCATCGAAATCATTATGATATATTGAATAATTTGAAATGTCCTGTACATTCCTTAACAATAAACCGTAGATCATTACCACATAAACTATTCTATGATGCTTATAATCATCGTGAAAATATGCGTCAACATAATTATGATCATAATAATAACATAGGTACACTTCGAGTTACTACCTTACCAACACGATTCAGGAAAGTCAGTTATAATATTAATAATAATAATCGTAGTAGTAGTAGTAGTGGTAGTAGCAGTACTACTAATGATAATAACAATAGTAGTATAATTAATCATATGGCTTCCATTAGAAAATTCGCTAGTCAACATACTATTCAATCAAATTATTCATCATCTTTATGTTTATCTACTACACAAAGTTTAGATAAATTTAATAAATCTTTACAAAAATCTATTCTACGTCCCGGTTCTAAACATAAATTAGATACAGAAAGTGATTCCGATAATAATAATAATAATAATACATCAGAAGAAAATAATTTTTAATTTTATTGATTTTTATCGATTATTATTTAATATGTACAAAGAAAAAATGTATTAGTATCCGGGGCGGGGGAAATTTCCCTATATATATACATATATATAGGGAAATTTCCCCGCCCCGGATACTAATATATATGTAAATGTTTATGATGTAATTAATAATTGTCTTTTTTTCTAAAAAAAATTTGCCGCCACATTTTAAATTTCATTCATTATCATGTACTTATTATTATATTTAAACAAGGGGGGATATTGATTTTTTTGTTTTTCTTCTTGTCAACATTAGATTAGATTAATTTTCGTAATATTCTTTCTAACTAATAATAATAATAGTAATGTATTGACATGTGAACAATCCATACTACTTTTATTGCAAATCAGTAAACAACGATTAATAAAGAAGTTATTTATTAAATAAACAATTCTATAATTAGTAACTATGTAAACACTTAAAACTATTTTAATGAAATAATGTACATACATTTTGTTTTTCTTTCTTTTATTCTCTCTTTTATGTTTGATTAAAAAGAAAGTAAAGAAAAAGAAATGAAAATATACATTTTGGAGAATGTTTTTTTTCTTGTTTTTCTTTCTCTTAATTTCGATTGAAATTGTTATTCATTTTCAATTTGGAACCTGTGTGCCCTGTTTATTGTATAACGCAATGATACCGCCAATCAGAGAGCAGCCAATTATCGATCGGACCAATGATGCATAATACTCGTACGAGTAGTCTGGAGTCCTTATTGGTACTGATTCCCGCCTAGCCCTGCCTGTTAAGTCCAGAACACCAATCTCAACCTCTACAATATGAATCATTTATTTCAAATATACGGGGTTTATATACCAATCAAATAGACTACAACGTACCATAAATAGAAAATAACATTTATACAATATTTGGCCAAAAGTGGCTGTGAATGTGGGAGGTAGTAATTAATAGACGGCATAATTCAAGAATGGTAGATCTTATAATAATAGTTCATAGGTCAAAATAAAACTCACGATAGGAGGGATATGAATATGAATGGTTTAGTTATTTAACGGTTATACGAAAAAAAAATATACGCATAGTACTGGTCCATAAACGGATCCCATCAATTACCATTCATTATTCTTATCGGGATATAACAGATAGGAGGTTTGATGGTCTGTATTAGTCCTGGAAATGATGATCTGTCAGTTGATCCAGCTTTCTTTTGAAGAAGTTGACAGATGGAGCTTCAATCACATGTTGAATTAATGAATTCCATTCGTTGATGATTCTATGGGAAAGTTGATAATCAGTTGACAAGTAATTTGTTCTGGGCTTGTGAACTATGTTTGAAGTGTCTTCGTTAATTCTCTGTTTTGAAAGACAAGAAAAATGAGGGCATATTAGGTGTAAATTTATTACCAAGTAATTTGAAAACTGTAATCGAGTCACCTCCAGTTCTTTGATACGATAACGGGAATATGTTTAGTTTAGCCAATTGAGCATCATATGGGACCTTCGCTCTTCCGGGAATCAGCTTAGTTGGTGTTCTCTGAACCTTTTTCAAAAGCTCACTGTCTTTTTTTAAGCAGAGCCTAGCAGCTTGTATGCAGTACTCAAGTTTAGGACATACGAACACTGTATGCAAAGTCAAAACGTTTTAGCATCGACATGACTAAAGGTCCTACGTATTGACCGTAAAGTTTTAAAACTTTTGGCGGCTACTACACGGCTAGTGCAGTAGTCTTTAAGTCTTGGCTAACGATGACTCCTAAATCATTGTGTGTCTGGACAACAGATAGCTCAGTGTCATTAATCATGTATGTATCTCTACCTTGATGACCGATATGCATCACAGTACACTTGGAAGCATTAACCGGCAACTGCCAGGTTTGAGACCACTCAGATAATTTCTCCAGGTCATTTTGAAGTTCTAAGCTATCACTCTTACTTCGTATCGCTCTCCATATCTTGACATAGTCAGCATATAGCAAGACATGATGATGACGATCATAGGAGACGAGGAACGTTATTTACATACAGGAGGAATAACACTGACCCCAAAACTGTACCCTGAGGCGCTCCACTAAGTGCAGTTTCCCAGCTAGACAACTTGGAGTTCACCGCTACTTTTTTGGCTCTCAACTAAGAAGTTTTAGTTTAGGTTGATTTGAATAGACTTTGGTTTATCAATTTTTCGTTTTTCATTTAGGGGAAAGAAATTATCAAAACTTAATTGTGGTAACAATTTTGTGGGAGGAAACGTTTTTCGTTTTTTTCCAATTTTCTAAATCAATCTAAAGTTGATTCAGTTTGAAATGAAAGGAATGGTTAACTGTAATTTAATGAAGTCAGCGATTGTTAGTATAGGGGTTGTGGTAGTATAACTTCGATTGATTTATGATCTTAATGAAATTCAATAATCTCCACAATTATATTGTGCTCACCAGTGACTGACTTGAGAGGCGATTTCTAGAGTTCTCGTTATAATCCATGACCAGTGTAGTTAAACTATGTCAGATATGAGCCAGTTATCTATCGAAGACAGTATAAGATGGTTACATAATGTTATGGATTTACCGAGGTTAAAAACCACTACATGCCAGTTCAGTGGTTGAAATTACAATCATCATTTAGATGAAAAGATTTATTCAGGGTGGAAATGATCAGTATCAGAAGAAACTGAAATGGGAGGGGGAAAATTGCTCCTCAGGTGTTTTCATTTGATAGTGTTGTGTTGAAAATTATTAAACACTGATTGCGTTTACATGAAACTTACTTACTTACACCCGTTAGCCCTCGTTGAGGAGAATAGGACACTCACTAACAGTATCCAACTCTGTCCAGAACAATCCTTTCCACGTGTTTACAGTTACTATTCATCCTATTCGTGTCTATTTACCATTGTCGACATCACGTGTTCTTTGATCTTCCACTTTTCCGTTACGTTTCATAATTCAAAGTTAGTGTTCACCTCGTGATGTAGTTTGATGATTTCCTCAATATGTATCCTATCCACCTCCATCGTCTTTCCCTAATTTCCTATTCAGCTGGAATCTGGTTTGTTCTCTCCCATAGTAAACTGTTGCTGATCCTATCCGGTCCAATGGACATTGAGCGTAATGAGTGGAAAACTATTTATAAATAATTGTACTTTCTTGATTATGGTTGTAATAGCTCTGCAATTTTCAGATCCGTATAAAAGAACTGTCTTGATATTCGTATTGAAGATTATGACTTTGATATTGTTTGACAGATAGTTGTTTTGAGTTCCATATGTTCTTCAATTGTAGGAATTCTCTCCTTGCTTTGCCAATCCTCACTTTCACGTCTGCATTTGATCCTCCTCCATCCCAGATACGTGAAGGATTCCACATCTTCCAGAGTTTCTCCATTTCATCCTGAACACTAGGATCTAGATACATCAATGTAAGGAACTTCACTTCTAGCCGAATACTAAATACATAGCCTAACCTGTAGCTCTTCCAGAGTTACTGCCTATACCAAAACCGAATAAAGGAGAAGAGTTGGGCATGAGTTAAGCGACCCCATCCCTTAGAAAACTAAAATACTAACCAGAAAATATAATTCAACCATTCAGTGATCCCTTGTTTTTCAAAAATTGTCAATCATATTTACCCTATTTAGTCAATTTGTTTGGTATAATTAATTCCTTTTAAATTAAAACAACATAGATAGTCTACCATTTATTTCCTTACCATTAACTTACTACTTTTTATAATTTATATGTTTAATTATTATGATTAAATAAATATCCTAAGGCCATATAACTCTATGGTGTTTAATAGTCATGGGGATTAATTTTCTTTAAAAATCAATATGAAAACAAAACAAAAAACTATCATATCAATGCTGGAATCCGATTTGTTTATTGATTGATTATTGATTAATATTCTAGAAAATGTTCTAGAAAAACCCACTTCCAGTGGACTTGAAGATAGAGGGTTACTTGTGAGAGATATTTTACTCTTGAAGAAAGTTATGGTATTAGAAAATGATTAGTTTATTTTTAATATTTTAAGTTATATATAATGTAACTAGGTAATGATTGATTGTATATGTGTCATGCAAATCAATTGATTTGTGTGTGGGCTATTATAATGCTCGAGTGCCCAAACTGAAACAAGTGGTCACACTCGGAGCCTTTAACCTAAAAGTCTAATCCACAAGGCAGTGGAGCAACGTCAGGAGATTCAGTCTTATGGTAGCCGGTGACCAACAATTGGTTCATACACCATTTGTTCTTTCAGGATTCTGGTAGCCTATGTTTACCTCTGGTTTGAAATTAGGATTTTACAAGTCCTCTAAGTGGACTCGACGTATCCAAAAACTCGGTAAAAGAGCCGAACATTCACTTTTCATCCTCTTAATTTTGTAAATAACACTTGTGACGCGAGAAGACAGTAAGACTTTCCTTACAGTGGTTGTATACATGTGACCATATGAGAGCATTTCTAGTGGGAAAGATAACTCTTCCCATTCTTGACCGTACCAAGACATTTGGGGCGTTGGTTAGAATAGTCAATATTTTGAAATCGGACTAAGTACGTTTTAAATCACTGTGCAATGAATCTGAATGATCCAAGTGTACAACATTCTTAAAGTCTACAAATATATTTAACTAATAAGTACCATTAATTATGGAATTCGTGCTCAGAGCTTCAGATATATTATCGACTAATCAATACCATAATATAATGTTCACAATATATATATCTTAATGAATAACAATATTATACATTTGATAATGCAGCAACCTATGCATCAGTAAGCCTCAACATACACAAGGGGAAAACCAAGGTCCTCAAATTCGAAACGCAAAACAGCAATCCACCCACTCTTGATGGCGAAACTCTGGAAGATGTAGAATCCTTCACATACCTAGGAAGCATCATCGATGAACAAGGAGGTTCAGATACAGACGTAAAGGCGAGGATATGAAAAGAAAAGGTAGCATTCCCACAATTAAGGAACATATGGAACTCAAAACAAATGTCTGTCAACCAATATCAAAGTGAGAATCTTCAATACGAATGTCAAGGCAGTTCTACTGTACGGAGCTGAAACTTGGAGA